AATGTGAATAGTATTCTATCGTATACAATAGAATACAATAAATAGTGATATAATTTTTATCGTTAGTTCCGCATAGAATACAAAATTGTGTATAACCAGATAAAATACGATAGGATTTATATCTGAACTTGCGAGCGATAACGATGCAGCTTAAAGAAGATGATTCAAATTGATTGCGCTATCAATTTGAATCATCTTTAAGCTGTATCGTTATGGCTCGCAAGTTTAATTAAAATCCTATCGTATTTTATCGTATTTTATCTGATTATACACAATTTTGTATTCTATAGGAAACTGACGATAAAAATTCTATCTAATTACTATAAAAATCTATTGTATTCTATTGTATACGATAAAATACTATTCACATTTGTGAATTTACGAGCCAAAATCTATATTCAAAACGATAGAAAACGATAGAAGGGTAGAATTTCATTCTATCGTTCTCTATAAATTTTTTTACTAGGGGTGCTATTGGAAATAAACTATTTGAAAAATTGGTTTGAAGTTAAACAATTAAGCATGCAAAGTTGTAAAAAAATTAAAAATAATTAATTTTGAAATTTGATTGCCTTCTTTGTGAAAAGTCAAGAATTCATTTGAACCTCATACATACAAAATTTAGTTCCGAATGCTTTCGATAATTAAAGATTGTTTAAAATGGTTTTCAGAGTTTGTTAATGCGCATTGAAGAATTTGTGAAAGTCTCAAAAGATTGGGAAAAAATCATTCTGCAAAAATATGTAGACCGTTACATAACCTTCGTATCTATTGTTGTAATATCCTTTGTAATGGCTGGAATTACCGTCATTATTGCTCCTTTATTTCTGCCACTCGAATTTCCTGTAGAAGTATGGTATCCATTTTCGACGCAAACGCTATTACGAAAGTATATTATTTACGTGATGGAAATGTTTGTCATTGCTCATACCGTACTCTGTCTTGGTGTGGATATCATGATCGCCGTTCTTCTATTCTATCCGACAGCAAGAATAGAAATGTTGGCTCTTGAGATACAAGGAGCTACTGATGAATCTGATGTAGTATCATGTGTCAAGAAACATCAGGAAATTATAGGGTAAGTAAGAGAAACAAAATATATCCTCTGTATTATTAATAAGATTACCATAAAGAAAATCGTATTTAATCAATCAGTAAAACAAGGAAAGGGAGCTTTCATTTTTTCTTTATTATCTTCATTTTTTTAAATCTCTACCTTAAATAATTGTCGCTAACTATGAATATTTAAGTAACATATTTTTTATTACGGAATTTTATTCTACGTAAAGAAACAAATAACTTTTGTTTGAAAAAAATTGTATATGAATTCCATTTTCTGACATATTTATAAAAATATCTACAAAATTATTGGTCTCAATAATTTTTTACTCGAATTCTATCAACTTTACCAAAAATTAACAACAAATATGAATTGATTTTGTTCTCATAGAACTCTGAGAATTTTTTCAGAATTTTTTAATTAACTTTTTAGTACTGCATTTTCTTGCATTTTCTTTAAGACTCCTGGGGAGTGAACGAAGAAGTCCGTGTTGACGGTGGAGTCATAGTAGTTAGCGGTAGGAATGAGAACCTTGTGCAGCACGTTTACTGCATGGTAAACGCATTTTGGTTTTGTTCCGTGATATGAATACTTGAGTTTGGTTCTGTTCCGTGCTATGAGTTACTGTATAGTATATACTACTGTGTCCAAAAAGTAAGGTGACATTGCATTTATTTCGAAAATTCTTTATTTATTCTTGCAAATCAATTTCGTCCCCTTCAAAGTAATCCCCCCCTGATATAATACACTTATTCCAACGGATTTTCCAATCTTCGAAACAGTTGTAATAATCGATTTCAGGAATGGCCTTTAGCTCCTTCTT